TCAAATTTTGTACATGGTACATAAAAAAAAAATCATTTTCGCCACTTATGAATTTCTTTTCGCCACTTTTGAAAAAAAATTCGCAATTGGCGACAATGGCGAATCACAGCTCGAGCCCTGGTGCATGGTGTAATTGTTCATTAGAAATACCATGTTTTTATTGTACCTTGTGTATTAAATGTGGTGCAGTTTCTAAATACATCAGAAATCACAACCATAAAAATGATTCTCTTGATATGAACAGAACAGTATTTACCTGAAGTATGTATTATGATAGACTGGAGCTTGATGAAATGGGCAATTGGCCATTTTCAATTTCTTAAGTTACATGCATTGATTCATTATACAGTCATATACTTGTATTTATTTGTTACCCTTTAGAGAACTTTTTATTAATGTGGACACGTCACCAACAGTCTCATCCGAGGGACCAGTCTCTATGTGTACTACATTGGATTCAGACCCATGATGTAGGAATCAGCTCTTACTCCCCAACTCTAGGCGTGTTGCTCTAACCACTGGCAATGTGACACATTATGAAAATTTGACATAATACTTTTATGATCTCTAAATTTTATTGACTTGATAAAATGACTGATACACAAATAAGATTTTTGTAATATCTCTGTAAGGTTTCTAAATTTTATTGACTTGATAAAATGACTGATACACAAATAAGATTTTTGTAATCTCTCTGTAAGGTTTATAGCTGTTTACCATTTGCCATATTTCTATCACTAATTAAATCAGTTTTCAACAATGGCCACTGAAGAGTCCTAGTTCTGTGTTATTATACAAATGATCTTCCCTTGATGTAAAATAGAATATTAAATAAAATTAATTATCAAATGAATTATAATTTTGAATCGGAGAAGGCCTACATATCTTAAACAAACATAATTTAGATGTAGTCTTGCTTTTATAGAAAATTATAACTTATTTAATTTTTCTCACTCTCAGATATAATTGCTTTTCAAAATCTTGTAAATTGAGGTTGTGATAGCCTGATAGGACTGCCACCTAGAATTAGACCAGAGTGGAGTGTGACTGTGTCCATTTTAAAATGATACAATTTCCAATCATTTTTTTTCTTTGTCATGTGTCCATTAGAATTTTCACTGCATGTCAGGTGCAAGGAAATGGGCATGCAAGTAGTTTTTGGGACTTTTCTGAGCTCATGCTAAAAACAAAAAAGTTATTACTGTACGGTACTGTACTAACTGGATCTATTTTAATTTCAGATATCCATGGAACAAATCATCTGAAAACTAAGAGAAGATGAAGAATACTTCTGTTAAAAAGTATGTTTTAGTAGTAAGAACTTATGTAACTCTATTTTAGAAAATTAAGGACTAAAGCACAAAGTTTATGTTTTTATTTTCTATTGTTTTCTTAATCTCACTGTATAATTTAAAGCTCTCTATTTATCATAGTCAGTGTGTGTTGTGGGGGAGGGGGGGTGTAAGCTGCTTTCCTCTACTTTTTAAGCTTTATATAATATCTTTATATGTTCGGCATTTCCATCAAATTAACAGATGTTAACATTTTCTTAGAAAGTCTCATTTTGCGAGCTAACTACTAAAATTCTCTGATTTATTTATAAGCAGGCCTATTTTTAGGTCACCTTAGTAAACTCAGGTGACCTATTACTATCTGTTTTTGTCTGTCGTGTGTTGACATTTGAACATTTTCAGCTTCTTCCTTGCAACCGCTCAACCAATTTCAACCAATTTTGGTACAAAGCATCTACGGGTGAAGGGGAACAAAATTTGTAAATTTTATGATACCCCCCCCCCCCCTTCTTTTTTACTCCTGGACATCAAGCAGTCAAACTGTTGGCATGATTGAAATGAGCACTGAGTCATCTACCATAATTATGAAATTCATGGCCCCAAGGTCAGGGGTTTTAGTACTAGGGTTGGTCCATATAGCTCTTTGGAATTAATCAACCATTTATGATGAAATAAAACTTAAGATAACATTTAGAAAATTTTGAAATGTGTGGCCCCAGGGTTAGTGGTTCCTGTGGGGTGGGGTACACAACTGGTGGTTTTAAAATGGAATAGCATTTTATCTTTATTACTCTGATCCACCTTTGGTTACTGAGTAACCAGAGTAAGCATGTTAAGTGTAAAATTATGATAAACAATGGTGCGTCTTTCAAAATTTGGAATTTCATGGCTTTTTGTTTAAAACACGAACCAAATTCAATTGAGTGAAAGTTGTTACTTGATACCTATTAGGTCTATGGGCCTCTAGTTGTTATTCAAATAAAAAAAATATTTTGATGAACAAATAGAATGAAAGAAAATTCCTTAATTTATTCTGAAAATCAGGAACAAATCTATACATACATATTCAGGTACATTTAACATGTTAAAATAAATTAAGTTTGTTTATTTCATTATCCCTAGTCAAGTGTTTAAAAGAGGCATCTTTAATAAACTAATGATATTTTACACTTGATAAATTTTTAAATTTCATTTTAAATCATTCTGATTAAAAAAAATGCTTAAAATGTGAAATTAATCAAACAAAAGCTTGTACTAGAACAGCATTAGGGACTTTGTCCATCCAATTGATATTAAATGTTAGATACTGCCTAAATCTAACAACATCCTGTAGAGTGTCACGTCAGAGGTCAAATTCTATTAACCAATCAAATAGTCAACTGCAAAATTATTGTATTTCATAAATTGGAACGAATAAGTCTAGAGTTGTTCCGTATTTGACATCTGACGTGACCTTCTATGGGATGTTGTTAGATGTTGTGTAGTGAGTATGCGAGAGGATCTAACATGTTTTATTTAGATTGGGATTTTGTTAAACTATATTTATATATATTTTCAATAGGTTGAAGTAACTGATGAGCAGATCAATCCAACTTGAACATGATATGATTTCTCCAATGATGAAAACAAGTCTCTCTATACTCAAGCATTGATATTTTTAAAGTCAACTGAAACTGGAACAGGTCATACATGCAGACTACAGTGATGTGTTGCACAGTTCCGAAAACATGCAGCCACCACTAGCATAAGCATGATAAGTGTAAGTGGGTCATCAAAGAACGAGAACCACTCAAGGACTTTTCTGTTGGTTGATGATGGACTACAAACTGAATTTTTAACAAAGGAATCCACCTTGGTGCTTATTGGCTACTTATAATGTGAACTTGTGCATTTATTATACCAAGTAATTTTACATTTCCTTAATAATACTAGACTTGCATAAACCAAATTCAGGTTTAGTTGATTGATTGCAGTAATGCAGTTCTAAGTTCCTCTAGCAAGATTATATCTCTGATGTATGAGACATCATTAAATACAGACATTTTCTCTGTCCTCCTGTCGTGACTTGAGGGCTCGGACTTAGCTGTAAAAATGTTTATGATGCAAGAGAAAAATGTTCAACCGATGTATGTAAATGTTGATAATAACATTAAATATTCTTTGATAAGTAGTGTTAGTGTGTTGTTGTTTTTTCCAATATGAGAATTCAGGGGGAAAATGACTTTTGGTTGAAAACCAGGGCTAAAATTGTGTAGTCAATACTACAGTTTCCGTTGCGGAAACTAAAGTACACCAAATGTATTTCAATTGTAAACGCAATCTAAAACCTTGCGTATACCTCAAGTTTCAGCAAGTTTCTGTTGCGGAAACCTGTGGTAACCATATGTATTTCAACCCTATACTCATACTGAAACCTTGCGTATACCTCAAGTTTCAGCAAGTTTCTATTGCGGAAACCATTGGTAAACCATATTATGTATTTCAACCGTATACGCATACTGAAACCTTGCGTATACCTCAAGTTTCAGCAAGTTTCAGTTGCGGAAACTATTTGGATTCGTGGACACCTTTGGTTTCCGCACTGCGGAAACTTGATGAAACTTGAAGTTTCCGCACTGAAACTTTGCAGAAACTATTAGTAACCTTAAGTTTCCGCAGAGTTTCAGTAGAGTTTCAGCCATGCGGAAACTGTATTTTTCATCCAGTGAATACTTTAAAAAATGATATCGAAAAATTAAAATTTCGTTTTAGCTATCCTTAGCCGAAGGCTTAAGTAAGCTTCTCTGATATATTGTTTTTCTTTCGTCCATCCATCTGTCTGTTTGTTCGTCCGTCTGTAAACATTTTACATTTTCGACTTTTTTTCAAGAACCATTGGGCCAATTACATTTCTTCTAATATTAAAAAATAAATATAAGTATATAATTTTTTCACATTGATTTTGCATTGATACACGGGCTAAACGAAAGTAATTTAGGTTTTATACTTTTCAAGTTTAAAATCTATAATTCTTAAAGAGATAATATCGTTTTGATCATTTATAGTTCTATCAAAAATAAATGAAGCGGAAACAATTGCAAACTTGATCTCTTAACCCCCTTCCCCGCATTCACGCATTTTAACGCATATACCACTTCCTATTTCTAACGCAAAATCACGCATATACCGTTTCCCCGCAATCACGCATTTTCACGCACTTTAAAAAGTCCGTTTAATTTTTAATTTAATGCCAATTTCCTTCTATTTTATACTTGCAAAAATCTCATAAAATAAGAAAAGTTATTTTTGTATTAAAATATAACGTCATAATATTATTTACGCTAAACTTTAGAGAAACGTGTACCACGTTAAAAGGTGCTTGCGGGGAAATGGTAAATTTCTATTTCTATGACGTGGACATTAAGTGTATGTTGCATAACAGTTCAGTAAGTTGTAAAGAGTTAAATATCAGCTTTAACTTCCATACCAAAATTTACCTAGCGTTTATAGAAAGAAGTGGGGAAACCCAGGTGGGACAGACTAACAGACAAAAGGAAAGAGGAACGAACGGACAGAGGGAAGGACAGGCTCAGAGGAAACCTAGAATCCCCTCTGGTTTTACCGGTAGTAGACATATAAGAGAACTTGCAAAATATATTTTTTGAAACAAATTCTGCTTTGTAGGTTTTTCCTTTGCATAATGAAAATTCTTTTAATATTTACCTATAGAAAAGCCATTTTTGGTGTCAGCGTATCAAGGACATTATTGAACAAAAAGCAAATACAAGTTTTGAATACATGTCATCAGATATCGGAAAAGAAAGAATCCTGAATCCAAAAGACTGGCTACCAATTATGGAGGTGACATATGTTCCAAACGTCCTTGATGAGGAAGTTCGGGATAGAATTGACCGTTATATAGATGAAAAAGTGCGATCACCTGAAGTAGTTGAAAGATTCAAGAATATTAAAGATGATATTTTGAGTTTCTATAAAGAAATTTCTACCGAAATAGAAAGACTGGAAAATGAATGGACGGGGACTCCTACTGTAATTAGCTCAGACAAGGAAGAAATTTATAAAGAGGAGTCAATTGCTCCTTATGTAGCTGGAGTAATAGCTACTGCTCCAATTTGGTTTCCTCTGCTGGCTGCTGGGTTTGCTATAGCGGTTGCTTCAGCACCAGTTGTTGCACCAATCATCGCTTACTTACGTAGCGATTCTAGGAAAAAGAAAATTATAGATAAAGAATATGAAAAAAGTAAATCGTTGTTTAAATCCAAGATGTGCAACTCAATGGAAGAAAATCACGGTGATGCATTGAATAAATTGATATTAAAGATCACAGACGTTCTTTTGCAAAGAAGGATAAAATTCATCGAAGAAACTATCAAGGAACTCTCTGAAAACCGGGATAAAATTATTGCAAACCAAAAGAGTTTAGATAGCCTTTCAGAACAGATCAAGTCTATTAAAGAAGCTGCCGAAGAACTAAAGCAAACATTAAATACCTCTTCAACTTAATTAATACGAGTAACACAATATTCTAAAAGGAAAAAAAGTACTTACAAAGTTTCCAAGACTTGCAACATATATTCACTGTACTTATGTGTTAAAATGACATTGAAGAAAATGTCATTATGGAATTAAAATCTTTAACTGAAGTATTTGAAAAGATATGTATGAAGATAGGCTTATTAATTTGAATATGAAATTATGAAAGCCATATACGTTTAAATAATATGATGATTTTTATTAAATGATTGTTTTAATTTTTCTCAAAACACTTAATTTTCTGGAAATTAACATTTAGAATGCACCAAGACGATTTGTTGCAAATATATTTCTTTGTGTTTTTATGAATTCTGAAATTGTAACGTACAAGTACATTCCCTGCCGATCGTTTACATCCGCCGTATGCCCCTTTTCATGATCGAGGAACAACGGAAATATCCGTCGTCAATGCTTTAAAAGACAGTCATTCTTTTGAGGAATATTTTAAAGTTTTATGTGAGTATTTGTGTGTGAATCACACATTTTTTATGTATGCATATTTCATAAAGTGCGCTAAAACATTCTTATATACTCACCGTCAATAGGACCGTTCACGGTAGCTCAGTCGGTAGAGCGCTCGCTTCGTGAACGGGAGGTCCTGAGTTCGAATCTCGGCCGAGACTGACCTAAGTCGATAAAAAATGGGTAGCAACTGTTCCTTCGCCATGCACTCGGCACTTTGAAGTGAAAGTTGCGGGTCCTTCGGATGAGACCTTAAAAATCGAGGTCCCGTGTCAGCAGCAGGTGTTGGCACGTTGTAGATCCCTCACTGCTCAATGGCAATGAGCGCCGAGAAAAGGTCAAAATTTGAAGCCCTTCAATCACCGACAATAGAAACGCAACACTCTATTTTAAGGTTGGAAAATTATATACGGTATATATTTATGTACCAAACAAGTTAGGACATCTTTACGAAAGCCCAGAAGGCTCATTCGAGATTCGAGTTTCCAAATACGAGATTCGAAATTCGAGATTCAAAATTCGATATTCGAGATTCAAAATTCGAGTTTCGAGATTCAAGATCCAAACGAACCAATCAAAAGCGGGTTCAACATTTGATTATTCCCCTTTATTATGTTTTTACTATCAAGAAATAATTAAATATAATTATATCAAATGGGTCATTTCATTAAATTACAATGCAAGAAAAAGTGTTATATATATTAGAGGGAAATTTGAATAATTAATGAATATTTCACTTTATATTATAGATTCTTAAATATTAAATAGATTTCATATATCAGGAGTATATGATTATATTTTTGTATTGATGACTAATCACCGGCCGCCAGGAGGTGGTCGGTTATATGATATGAAAGTTTGAAGTCTCTGTGCGTTTCGTATAGGTTACATCATAGAAGCCGAGTAGTATTGATTATATCGTTTTCATGGGGCGTGGAAATCGAGGGCGCGGAGCGCCCGGGATTTCCATGCCCCATGAAAACGATATAACCAATAATACGAGGCATCTATGATGTAAGCAACTTGTCGCATGTCTGATGACGTAAATTTCATTGAGAGTGTCAAAATTCAATGAAAAAAAAAAAAGATTCATTTCAAGCTAGCTCTCCAACATGTCGGATGTTCTTAGTGAATTTGACTTTGACTTTTTAACTGAGTTTGAAGATTTTGACAATTAATCTTTGAGCCAAGCACTCGACATATATGAAATCACACAAGCAAATATCAAGGAGTTTAACGATGTAAAGTTTGGATAATTACCATAACTTTCAAAATTTCAAAATGGATAATTAATCTTTTGAACGACTGGGAACTTTCAACCGAGTTAAATGCATGTATTTTAATTTAGTTAGAGGCTAAGAAATAGCTAGAAATGTTCATTTTTCTGTAGCTACGAACTTGTGAAATAAGATCAGGTTTTTTTCTCATGACCTGATTTCTGCCTCTTGCAGTGATATATGAAGGGGCGTGGAAAGTATTATCACATATGTGATATGGGATATATCACCGCAGAAAGATCAAAGAAAATCACCACAGATATGCGACAATGCGGAGTTAAAACAATTTAAATAAAAAATAAATAACATTAGTATAATAGTATATTAAAAAGACGGTCTAAAGGTTAAAGAAAAACGCACAATAAACATAAAATTAAAGATTATGAAGAATGAGGTAAATATTTCATCCAATACTGATTTAGAAATTTAGATATACATGTTTGAGGTGCGGAGAAAATTAAGACATGTGTTGGGCGTAGTCTAAAGCAAAGACCGCGTTATGTATATTACACAATTTTACTTTCTCTATTCAAACGGGATTTGTACGTATTTATTTTAAAATGACGTGTACATATGTACATATATAAACATTTTGAAAAATATGGTTAAATGTAAATTCATTAAAAGACTTAGCAGGCTACAAAATATTACAAGATTTGGCCCTTAGCAGACGAGGATAATGCACGTTTTACAATGTGCCAAGAATTTTCCCGTTACAACTCAAAGAGAAGAAATGTAGTGGCGGATCTAGAGGGAGTTTACTTTTTTCCTTTAAGAGAGAGCAAGGATACTATGGAAGGGAATTACCGCCAAAAGTCTATGTATCTTGCTTTTATTCTTATTATGCCTACTTCTTTATGCTTTGTTATTATTATAATTATATATATCACTTTATTGTTTTCATATTCGTCTTTATTACATTTCACTTTGACTTTTATCATTCTTCATTTTGTCTTTACTTCTATGTTGCTTTATTCTTGTGAATTCATTCTACTTTCTTTTAAACTTAAACAGTTTCTTTAATAAATTATTAGCATTATCTCTACTACGAATGTTAATTCAATCACACTAACAATGAAGCATATTCAATGAAGACAAATGGAAGTTGTCAAACCGTCAAAATTTAGTGCGGCATTATAACGCTAGGTGGCGTGGTGTTCGCTACGAGTGTTGGTAAAACTAGGTAAGCAAACTCGGGTCGGGTTATTTGAGATTCTTAAATACGCCTTAATCATGTTAATACTTTATCAATCGAACTTCTGAAGGCCGGATCCGATCTCCCGATCCAATGATGGAAACTCCATATTTATTTTCTCTGGGCATACAGGAATAGCGGCTTCTTTTTTCCAGACATAACTTTATACATTACTGAATATGTTCATTTAAAGGCCGACCCACTTTTTGTAAGAGTAGGGTCAAATAAGTAAATGTAGTACGTATAGTAGGAAGAAAATTTAAATTTGATTCTACAGAAGAATTTGAATCTAACTCAAAACCCATCCCGCCCCCGAAATAGGATTTCACTGGCGTCGGAAGTTAATTGAAAGTTGGGGGGGGGGGGGTGTAAGAGTAAGATTTTTTTTTGACCTTCAAAAAAAAAAACCTGACAAGCAAAAAAAAAAAAAAAATGTCCAATTTTTTCAAACATAAAAATCATATTTCGTGAGGAGGGGTGGGGTGGGGGTGGGTTGAAGTTTCGAACTCCAGTGCCAAAATTTTTTTTCCAAATACCACCACTTTCCCCATTTTAAACCTTTACTGGGGGGGGGGGGGGGCTAAACCTACGCAGGAATGTTCAATGTCTATACTAAGTCTATCTTTGGGAAGAAGTGGGTGCTAAGCTTCCCCTCCCCGGTTCCGACGCCTATGTATTTTCAAGTTTTGACAATTTCCTGGGGTTTATTTTGCGCTTGTCAAGTTGTTTTCAGCCGGGTAGCTCGAATATTTATTCTCTTGTTGCCCCCCTCCCCACTTTCAAAAACGATGCTACACCACTGTTCTCTCGCCTGAAAAATATATCTCTACTAAAGTTATTTGTTGGTATATTTGAATTACAATTTAATTGTTATAAAAATGTTAAATATTTTGATACTAGTTAACCCTTATAAATTGGGTTGTTTTTCAGAACCTTCCATTGAACTGAACTTTATTTCACGACAGATAGTAACTGCTGATGCGCGTGATTTTAGGGACAGGCCTTTGCAAAGGAGTGAGGAGCGTTATGGGTAGGCAGGCGCGGATCCAGAATTTTTTTCCAGGGGGGGGGGGGGGGGCAACCAAGTATAAAAAAAAATCCAATCCCAGAAATTTCTTGACAAGCATAAAAAGAAGAAAAAAACCTAAACTCGCTCAAACGTAAAAATTCTATTTCGTGGGGGGTGGGGTGGGGGTGGGGGGGTAACTTTTTTCCTTGTTTTAGTAACCTTGTTAATACCAGGGGGTCCTACCCCCCTCTAGATCCGCGCATGGAAGGCGAAGTCGGAACCAGACTACATGCACCCAGGCATACTAGAAACACCCTGGTATTTTTTTCTGCGTTAATATTTTATATCAAAATAGCACTTTTCAATAAAGAAAGAAATATCTTTAGTACGCACCGTGTTTGTCATCAACCAGGAGAGCTAAAAAAAAATCTTAAAACTCGAAAATTCTATTTGGTGGTGGTGAAGGGGGGGGGGGGGGGTCGTCAACTTTTTTCAGTAATAAATTTTACTCATATGCCACTAAGTACATTACTTTTAATATATAAATTGACTATTAGTACTGCAACAAAAAGTGTAAGGGATAAGGAATGGGGGCAACAAGCCTTTCGCTGAACTTTTCCAGTAGTAAAAAGTTACGTTTAGGAAAATGTTTCTTGGCCACCCTCCCCTCTACCGATGAAACTTACCCCATAGGAGGTCGTCCACCCGGAAGTCAGTATATATATTGAGACTTTGGTGGTGTGATTGTACATTGTATAATTTCCTTTTCTAGAATTTTTCACTCAAATGGAGAAGCCACCTCTTGCCGGTGGAGAGCTGCAAATTTGTCCTATATACTCGGCACTTATAGCCATTAAGCAGTGAGGGATCTTTTTTCGTGCCAGCACCTACTGCGACACGGGACCTCGGATAATACGGTCTAGATCTCATCCGAAGGACCGAACTCCACATCCTACAGTGGAATTCGAACCCACGACGTATTGGTCGACTCCTTACTACTGTACTTCGTGACTCTATAAAGAGCAGACGCCGTAACCACAGTGCCACGCGGGTGACTGCATCCAAGGGGGGGGGGGGAGAAAGAGTCATTATCCATATGTACTCGTGCAGATTATCTATGTTTAACTAAACGGTTAAAATGATTTAATTATAAAAGACTATT